TAGCCTATCCCATAGCAGCAAAGGTGGGAAGACAGTACGTGCCGAGTACCCCAGGCCCCTTGAGGAAACATTTCTGAGGCTTCCACACGCCCACAACTGAATAGCTTGCTCATGGAGTCACCGATGCCCACGGCACAAGCCACCATCAACCATCCTATTAGAATCCTATGCCAGAAATTTCCTCTCAAGTGACTTTCTATAGGCGACAGGAACTGTAGAGCAGGCATTGACGTGGGTGTTGGCCCGAGCATGCCACATTTGCCACCCCTGATAGAGTCCTTTGAGGTTCAATCAATGCCAACGCTGCTCAAGAGACCTAGTCACAGCAAGGAATTCATCCCGTGTTCCTGGTACATCTAGTCTGTCTTGCTTCTGAATGGCCCTTGCTTTCATCTGCCTCTAACATCTTTTTTAATGTTGTGTTTATTTTTGAGACAGAGAGACAGACAATGAGCTAGGGAGGGGCAGAGAGAGAGGGAGACACACAATTCGAAGCAGGCTCCAGGCTCTCAGCTGTCAGCACAGAGCCCGACGTGGGGCTGGAACTTGTGAACCGCGAGATCATGACCTGAGCCCAAGTCGGACGTTTGACTGAGCCACCCAGGCGTCCCTGCCTCAAATCTGTTTTTGAAGCTGCCAGTCACAAATGCTACCCACATTATGTGATTATTTGATAGGGAGGCAGCACCCTGGAAGGCTCTGGCAAACTCTCCAGGGCCACCCTCCCGTACCTGTCCCCACCTTCCCCCTTGGATGCCATCCCCTGCCGGCTGATGGCCTTGCACAATCCCACACTGTCCTGGGAACCTTGGGTCCCCTGCTGTGAAGCAGTCCCCACCTCCCTCACATGGCTGCGGGTGCCCCGTTGAGGGAACATAGGCAAGAAACCTGATAAATGGTGACATACTAGTAAACACAAGGCTGGCCCTTATCACCAGGCAGCCAGGGGAGACGTAAGTAGGTCCTTCCTCCCTTTATCTCCTGCAAGGAGGAAATTTGCTGGGTCAACACACCATGTATTTTGAGATGGGAGGATGGGAGGTTGGGAGGGTGTCCTCAGACTCGTTTTTAAACTTCATAAATCGAGTTATGTCACACACACACACAGAAAAGTGCATAAACCTTCAGTGTATAACTCTGCATGTTTACGAATGTATACACCCATACATACAACCACCACCCAGGTTAAGATATGGAAAGTATCTATAACCGGAAAGCACCCCCATACTCCCTCCCAAACACTGCCCCATCCCCTCATATCTAACACAATAGATTTATAGGTTCTTGAACTTCACAGGAAAAAAAATCATAGAGCATATAGCCTTGTGGCTGGCTACTTTCACTCAACATGTTTTTGAAATTAATCAACATCACAAATATTGACTTGTGTTTTTCTTTTGGTACGCAGTATTCCGTTGTATGGAGGTACTACACTTCGCCTGTTTTACTTTGGGTGGACATCCAGCTGTTTCCAGTTTTTAGCTATTACAAATGATGCTGCTATGAACATTCTGGTACATACATTGGTGGGCATATGCACTCCTATTCCTTAGGCAGGCACATTCCAGTTTTAGTAGAATCTGCCACACAGTTTCCCAGTGTGGCTTGCCCATTTCCACTCTCTCCAGCAATGGCCTCAGATTTTTTTTTTTTTTTTGGTGGCACCAGCCTCTTCTTTACACAGTTCAATAAATAGAATGAGCCTACAATGTGGAGTCAGACCTCAATGACCTTGGATGCCATTACTTAACTCTTTTTTTTTTTTTTTTTTTTTTTTTTTTTTTTTTTTTTTTTTTTTTTTTTTTTTTTTTTTTTTTTTTTTTTTTTTTTTTCTCCTTCTTACTTTGTAC